TATTCTTGTAAATATGCACGTAACCATGTTCGTAGCCATGACGTTCATTGTTCATGTGTCCTTGCATGTACGGTAATCCGGAACCGTTTTCATTGTCCAATTACAGTCATGTGTGCTCTAGCTCATGCTTTTTCCAGCACCACACATTTCCTCATAGAACCTTAACTATTCACCACTGTGCATATGATTCCCCTACCTAACTCGTACACCTACCTACACCGTGCACACTGCACATAGTGTAATTTGCTCCTCCGCCGAGAAGCATGCCCCTTGGCCTCTGTTTGTGTGTGGTTGTCGTTGTCGACCCCTCGGCGTGTATCTGTCTGTATATTTGTCGGCACGCGGCGCGTTACTGGACGGCGGCACGCACGTTACAGTGGCTCCTGAACCCTTCTAACCCGGAGGATGCACGTAATCTGGTGGGCGACGTCATCTGCTTCTTTCTGCTGACGGCCCTGGCTGTGATCGCGGCCTACCTCTGCCTAATGGGTGGGTGGTGGGTGGTGGGCACGATATACTTCATTTGGTGGGTCAACACTGAACATTGAATAACCAATAACCTACCCTTGCCCTGTGGGGAGACGCACCTGTCTCGTGAATTTTAACTCCTCCCTCGTGAGTGGATGAGCGATTCCGCTTTTCTGCTGCTTTATGTGTTTTGTTTTTGTGGCTGATTGCTCCTCAGTGGGTTCATTTGATTGAGTTGGATCTACGTGTGCACTATCGTTCGGCCCTTGATGAGGGTTGCAGAAAACGGTTAAAGGACGTGATTGGTGTCGGTTGCCACTTTTTCTGAGTAATAACCGCAGGCTGTTGCTCCATTGACGTAATTAGTGCTGGCTCTACCTATCTGTAATCTAACCACTACCATTTGCCAACATCCGCCCTATATGACGTCACCTGCGCGCCGCCGTGTGACGTCACGAGCCAGCTGCTCCGACAGCGGTGTGCGCGTTTGCCGCAGGGGCGTCACACTACCTGTCGTACAAGACCCAGTGGGAGGCGACCGGCCTGGTGGTGCTGGGACTGCTCATCTCGTCCATCTACTGCGTCTGGCTAGTGGTCACATGCAGGTGGGTGACGGGACTGTGTGTCAGGAAGGTGTATCAGTGTAGGTCGCACTGGCCTCGGTACTGTCGGAAAAGGACAGTGGTAGGGGTGGTTGCTGGGAGTATTGTGGCTTGACGGATGTTGTTGTGGATGCTGTGACTTGTCCTTTATATTTCATGAATATTTTAAGCGATAGGCTAACGAGGCAATTGGGTAATTCTGACAAGCATTTATCGTATATGCCAGGAGAGAAGCTGAGTAACGAATTTAGTTCCCCGTTCGACTATACTCGGGTGTGGGTGGTCTCGAATTTTTCTTCCCTCTCATGCATACGCCGTCCGGTCCCTGCCGGACTACTAACTGACTCCCCCGTCCCCACCGACTTCCCCGCCGTGTACTAAACCATGCCGTACCGCAGGTACCACTGCCGGGTGTGGCAGGACTGGCGGCGCACCCACCAGGACGTCCACCTGCTGGAGATGAAGCGACTCTCCTACTCCACCGTCGACCTCAACAACAACACCAGCGTCCCAGCGCCGCCGCCGGCCGGGCCCGGGTGCCGCGCCTGTCGCGGCGGCTCGTACTCATGCTCGCACTGCTGTGCGGTGTGTCCCGTGCACGGCGTGCAGACGGAGCCTGCCGCTGCCGCTGTCACTGCCGCTGCAGCTGCTGCCGCTGCTCCTGCCGGAGGATCTGATGACGTGTTTGCTGCTGATGCGACTGCGTCCGGAGCCGGCCGCCGCGCTGGCACCGGTGGCGCCATCTGTGGTGCGGCGACGTCGCCTATTGAGCCTCCCGAAACAACCGAAGCCGATAAGTGATACACTGGAATATGGTGGAGATGGAATGGCTCAGGGTCAGATCTCAGTCGATTGATTGGTGACGGGTAAGTTATTTGTGCTGTGACTTGCATCTGTCTTCTGTATCATGTAAATGTGCATGTTATTTGCTTCGCTTGAGTATTTATTGATATTGCTTTGTTGTTAATTTTCAGAGTTTATTGTATTATTGCACCAATTATTATATAATATTGCTTCAAGATGTTGCATGATTTGCATGTTGGGAGCATGAAAATACTTGTTTCGTTATTCGAAAAATACATATACCCCATTGTCTATGGCCCACGTTTTGTAGATCTAAGTAAGTCTTTGCTCACGGTCATAAGTGATCAAATAAACGACTATCATATTTCGATATACGGAATGGTAAAAATGGATATGATGCTATGGATATTAACAGGTATACACCTACTGTAGGTATCCATCGCATTAATAACAGGGCGATTGGGGTTGGATGGAGTCATCCCATTATCTTTTTCACGAAGTAAGTAGTGTGAAAACGGCAGGTACATAGATCAGTTTCAATGTTACTGTGCAAATATTTTCTTTTAATGCTTTACATTGCCAATTTTATGACCGGTTGATCTTTGACCTGTGACCTCTCAAGACTACATCAAGCCAGAACGGCGATTCCACTCATGTCTGCACGGCAAACCTCATGACCTGGACCTGTGCAGTGTGCAGCTCGACGATCAGATTCGATATGATACCGTCCGCTCTTCGACGTGCGGCTCCAAGTCCCGATGCCCGACCGAATTGATTTGTACCACCTTTGCTGACAGCATCTCGAGCAGGTCACGGGATGGATACGCCATGATACGGTTCCCTAATCCGTCCAGGTGCTCTCGTCAGTAGCGGCGGAACACTTTCGATCAGGGGGGGGGGGGGGGCACTGCCGACTTTTGGTCCCATTCTTTACATGCAACACCCATGGGGCTAATTTTAAAATGTCAAAATCAAAGGGGGCACGGTGCCCCGGTGCCCTCCCCGTTCCGCCGCCTATGGCTCTCGCAGATTTCTGATTCCGATCGCTGAGAGACTGGCCGAGCTTGCCGCTGGGCTTGCCTCTGGCGCTGCGCTTGCCGGCGGGACGGGAGTGGTCATCCGGCTCGGGGTCGGCGCGTTTGTGATTCTCGGTGAGTGGTTCGCTGCACATGCTAACCAATTTGCCGCCCCTCAGAAGATCTGTGAGCCTCACAGCGGGCCACCGCACACAGCCGCTATCTGGGTTCAGAAGTGGCCAATACCCTAATTTTCGACAAATTTTAAAGCGTGATGTTCTCACATTTTCTGGTCGTGAATTGATCAGACTGTATAAAATATCATCCAGAAAAAATATTACTCATTCTGGCACAGATTGGTGGGCTCCCAAAGTACACCGTTTTGTTTTGCTCCGTGAGACCGAACTTGTGCTGCGATTTTCATGTAAATGTTGACGAGTCTCCTGTCATATTCTTTGCTTGAACATGGGTAAGTAAGATATCAGCTGAAAGGGGAAAATGTGCGGAATCCATTGGTAACAAAAGTGCATCTAAAAAACTTCCCACTCAGTTATTGTAAGCTAATTGTTGCACACTTGCACAAAGCAGAAGGGCTTGAGGATTTCAATATTTACATAGGCCTACCAAAAAACGCACAGCGTGCTTCACATCGAGACAACGTCCATAACATATACCGTACAATTGTTATTCATTTGCTGAAAAAATTAGGTCGGCATCACACTGCCGGCAAAAGTTATTGCAGTTTTAGTGACGCTAGGTCGCCGCCCGGCCGACCCCGATCAGGTCGGCCGGGCGGCGGCCGTGCAGCTGACGTCCGTACGGTTCGGCATCTGACCAATCAGCTGCGAGAGAGGAGCGCGGTCCGTGTAATCGCTCCCGGCAGTTGCTTGTGCTGAGGGGTGCTCGACGCTCGTGTCGATTGCATTTGTTGGTTGTCGATTGTCGATTGACTTGTGGGTATACTTTCTGGTGACCAATAAATGTACGTCGTCTTAACTGAATGTAGTCTGATCAAATTCAATAAAGCAAAAAGACATCCAGCCAACAGAACATCGTAAGAATGTCCGATATGGTTGATAACATTCAGAGTTTTGGGGAGCAGCCATCGACCAGAATGAACCTTATTGGCTTTTACATGTAACATTTGCATTGCTTTTGGAAAGTTTCAGTGAGATATCTTCAGAAATGGCAATGTTATCGGCTTTTGCATTTTACCGTAGTCGGTTAATCACAATTTTCGATATTGCAAAGGCAATTTCAGTACGTTCTTGACATCGAAAACCAAAACGAGTAGCATCATCGTGTTCCAGAGCTCAAATTGCATCCGATGCACATCTTTTTTGTTGAGAATGTTCAACTTCAAAATTTGGCCTTTTGACCTCGCCGTGACCTGACCTCCATTTGTCGAATGGAAATAGTTTCGAATCGGACGACCCAGATGACATCATTTTTAGATGCTTTTGCCGAAATGGACCATTAAAGATGTGTCGCATGACCTTAAAAATGTATACATTTCCTTCAATGACCTTTTCAATGACCTTTTGTCACCCATGACCTTTCCATGACCTTTTGTGACAAAGTTAGGTTTCGTTTGTCAGCTATTCCTATCAGAAGCCGTTTGAACTTTTAGTATTGAACGAGTAGTTTCGAAGACAGCAGGGAAGCTATGCAGAATCCCCTCCCGAGTCACCCACGTTATGGGATATACCCGTCATCCGCGGATTACAAGCAAAAATATTTTTTTACGGCAATGATGTATCAGCATGGATGCTTATCCGTTCCCATATGTGACCTTACGGTTGACTTCACATACAATAAAAATTGCTTGGCAAAATGTCAACTGGTTAACGAGTTATCGCATTTTGGCCACTTCCGAACTCAAATAGCGGCTGTGTGCACCGTAGCCCTCCTGAGGTAACCGCGTACATTTTAGTCCGGCGAAGGCACAAAGCAAGGCACAGGGGCGGCGTGGATCCATTGTTGTTTACCATGATCGGAGGCCTATGGGAACACCTACCGAGTGCGGTTCTCAGTTTTCGGCATTTGTTGGATTTATACATGCGCATAATATATCCCTGTTATTGGCTATCCGCTTTTTGGAATATAGCTCGGTCATTTGGTTGTAAATATTTATTGTTGGTACCTTCTGTTGAGTAGAATACGCATATAAACACATTCACCCGTTCGCTTATGATTGTCATGTAACATCGCCAAGTGCAATATGTACACCAGCCAGTCACGTGACTTGCACATAGGGTATGGATAGGGGCTTCTCTGACCCTCGCGGATCATTCCAATGAAGCCAACGACGTCGGAAATATACCCAGTCTCTCCGTAAACGGACCTCGGCTTTGACCGCTGGAACCCGCGAGAGGGTCGCAGGTCACCGCACGTAGACACTAGACAGCACGCAGAGCCTCATGCGCCACTTGACGCAGGGGCGGATCCAGAAAATCTCCAAGGGAGGGGCCATTAGAAACCAGGAGGCCCCCCCATAATCCCACCTGTTGGAGGCCCCATCTTCCCACTTGTTGGGGCCCCCCCAAAAAAACTGCATCTATTGAGCTTATCTAGCTGTTCAGGCAACATCTCAACATCTGTGCAGGCTTGGAGGCCCTCTGTGCAGGTTAGGAGGCCCTGTAAAAGTGGTCATCTCTGTGAGTATAAGAGACCTCCAAGTTATGAAAAGCTTTACCAATCTTCTAACAAAGAAGTCTTCTCAGCTAGTCTTCTAAGAAATAACTAAGTGGGTAGGTTAAAAAAAAACTCATCGGATTTCGGCCACTTTATTTTCAGGAGGCCCCCTTTTCAGCTTTTTAACTTTTTAACTTTTTATTTCATTTTTGAAAAAAATCGGCCAAGGGGGGGGCCATGGCCCCCATGGCCCCCCCCCCCTTGTATCCGCGCCTGACTTGACGACTGTTCCCGATCGGCGACACACCCAGATCCCCGGTTAGTGACCAGTTGACCCAATAGGGGTCACTGCTGACCATCAGCCTCCTCCGGGCGCTCGCCCTAACTGACCTTACTGTTTATCGACCCTCGGTCGTGATCATTCGCGCTCGCCCCAGCTAAGCACATGATCCGAAATGATATGCACGGGAAGCGCCCTCCCCCCGCGGGGCGACGCGGCAAGTCGACCCACTGCACTGTTGCGGTGGGCCTGACTAGATCCCAGAGTCACGCGGCGTTCGTTCACCGAAGCACCAAGAATAGTGCTCAACGCAGTTTGTACTGGCTGTCGGAATGACAGCGACAGTCGCGCGCTGACATAATTAACAGACTAATCAACAACAGGATGCCTGTGACGTCACCCATTCAACACCCCACATCATCACAGCACACGCGTCATCCAACGCACTTTGCTGCAATCTGCTCTAACGATTTCATTACGCGTCTGAGAGTCCGGTTTGAGCGTCGTTCCACTGTCTCACAGCCCAGCGGAACGTGACATTATACCCACATCATCCAGTATGACGTCAGCGTGACGTCGTCACTTTCAGTCAGCACAGTGGTCAGCTAACAGGCAGGCATCCTCGTGGTCCCGGGCGCGCCGGCCGCGGCCGCTCGGCGCCGCTGAGTAGGCGGTCGGCGGGTGACCGGTCATAGGTCGAGGGGTCATCAGGTGACCGGTCATCGGTCGGTGACGGACAGGCTGCTGGTGGTGCTGCTGGCCGTCAGCGGCTCCTCGCCCGGCTGCGGCCGCCGGCTGCGGGCCAGCACGACCAGCACGAGTCCGGCCAGCAGCAGGGCGCCGCCCAGCGCCGCCAGCGTTATGCTGCCGGCCGACATGACGGTCGGCACCGTCTGCACGATGGTGACGAACTGGTCGGCGATGTCGGGCGTCGTGTCGACGGTGTTCTCGAACCACAGCATCGGCAGGTAGACGCTGGAGACGTTGTGCAGCAGACTGACGGAGAGGAGAGACGGGACGGGTGATGTCAGAGCGATGAAATACCTACCGTGGAGACTTCGCTGGAATTGGATCGATATTCGCAGTAAAACAAAATAGCCTGGAGATAAATAACAAGGATACATTTTGCTTCGCCAGAAATATTGTGAACACCGCCTGAATTCGAATAATAAAAGAATTGAACCGGTAGATCGAGTTAGGTATTGAAGGGCGAATCATCTGGCACGGAGTATAAGCGTGACATTTTTTCTTTTGTCTTTTACATGGTTCTATCACCTTAGTCCTTACTCGTAAATTGGGTGTAAACGTCCTTACAAGGACTTGTCCCCGCTGTCAAACGCTCGAGTGCCTCATAAGCCATATAGAACTATTGCCATTCGAGCATCGATACCAGTTGGTTCATAGGTACTCTAATGGGCACGGTGAGTCGATCACTTCTCAGTTCTCATAGACCCTGGTAACAGTTATATCCGGCTAACATACATCGTTTTTTGCAATAGCTGGAAAAGCAAACTCAAAAATCACTATCACACCTTCGATAGTCAGTGAAACTTGAACCTGAGTGCGTCTTTCCCAAGGATGATCATACAGAGGAGCGAGCGCACTACGACAAAAACGGTGATCCTACCGATAAAGGTCATGAATAGCTCTAAAAACAATGTACCTATTTTAGGAAACGTTGAGAGGGAGACTTGCCAGTACCTAGGCGATATATCATTGGTATTATAGGATTTTACAGCGGCATGACTATCAAAAAATGAGACCGCTAAGGAACGGAAATGATGTGGATCTCCCTTTATCTATCTAAAGAACCCGCTTAATTAATAACTGATAATCAATCGATTTCTGAAACGGTATATCCGTTCTGCAAGTGTGCCTAATTAAAAAGAGTGAACGTTCACGGCGATGGAGCAAAATGTTTGATCTAATACAGCATATGACGGGATCATCCACCATGCGTGATTGCATCATGCGATGTTATGCAATGAACCTCGATATTCGTCGTCTTGGAATCCTTGCATCGAATTGTAATTTGTTCTTTGTTTAGAACATAGCACTTAATTGGATGAGTGATGACAATCAATAATTGCTTTGCTTTTTTGACAGAGCCCTGTCTTGAGCTAAAATCCACCTTTTATTGTTTGTGTTTAGGGATCACAATCTTCCTTGCAAGGGCATTACGCATTAATTTAGTTTATTTTAAAGGGACCCTCCCACCTTAACATTAGTTTTGAGTTGAGATAGCCAAGTTTGCGGCCAGGCTCAGAAACCACCATTTATCCTGGTTGCAACCCCCGCAGCTTTATGGTGTTCAAGAAATGTCTTCCCTTTACTTGCAGGGTGGGACCAGCGTGGTCCCTATCTCTTAACCATTACGGGAATCTGATGACGTCATCAGGCTTTCGAACGTCCGTTAAATGTTTGACTAAAACGTTTTGTAGCACGCGGTGGTATATGCTGCTTTGCGCGCAACAAATGCCGCACTTCCAAATAAAGTCGCTAGGAACAGCGGAGATCCCAAAAAGTAAACAAAAGTAAAAGTCTAATATCTTGAAAACCGGTGAATATTTTTTGATGAAATTTGGTAGATATTCGTTTTTGCTCTTTCTGAACCGAGCGACATCACTTTCATGCCAATTCATTAACTTTTTTGAAGGTGGGAGGCAGGGCTGCGGAGTCGGAGTCGGAGTCGGAGTCGGTCGGAGTCGACAGTTGTGACCTGAGTCGGAGTCGGAGTCGGAGTCGATTTTAGAAACTCGAGCCGGAGTCGGAGTCGGAGTCATCGAAAATCTGTCGACTCCGCAGCCCTGCTAGGTCTGCTAGGTCTGCGACTCCGCAGACCTAGCCCTGCTAGGTCTGCGGAGTCGGAGTCGGGAGTTGGAGTCGGTCGGAGTCGACAATTCTGCCCGGAGTCGGAGTCGGAGTCGGAGCTGGTTTTTGAAAGCCGGAGTCGGAGTCGGAGTCGGAGTCGCCGAAAATCCATCGACTCCGCAGCCATGGTGGGAGGGTCCCTTTAACTCTCATGTTATCTCTAACTGTTCAGCATTTTGGTACCCCGACCCATCTAACAGAGCAGCCCACTTACTCAACATCCGAGTTGTTCTTCAGCAGCATGTTGATCTGGAAGCGGGCTCGCACGGCCAGAGGTACCCCGGTCAGCTGTGAACATGCGGCAGTGGACGTCAGATGGGGGGCGGAACTCACCGCAGTTACGGTGACAGAATAGCGGCGGCGCACAACAGATAGAAAACTATGGGACGCTGCATGAACAATATAGAAGTCGCATGATTGTCTGTGGCAAAGGAAGCTCGTGAGATATGACTCGATGACTGCTGACCGGTACCTACAGGAACGACATACCTATACCTACATATGTGGACGAGCCATTATTACTCACTAACTGAGCGTGTAATTATATCCGAACTTCAGCGAAGCTGAACACTTCACTTTGATATCCAATGTTCCGAAACTGTCCACCTACCGGCTCCAGGTCGATATTGAAGTTGTGCAGCGTCTCGTTTGGTTCCTGGCCGACCGTCTGGTCCAGTACCGCCGGATCAGCGTACAACATGTGCGGGAACGACACGAACGCCGGCACTCCGAACCGGCACAGCGTCTCATTCAGCAGACCTGCCGGGAATGTCCGAGGCTCAGTTCGGTACAGGTCACGGTAATGACCTCCCAGTAAGGTATGGTGGCATAGGCGTAGGAACAGGGGGCTGGGGGCCATGGCCCCCCATTTTCGGAGGTGTGGGGGGGCAGCAATGTTAATTGCCCCCCCCACACACACACACACACACACACTTTTTGCTGGCTTTTGTGTTTGTATGAACCTACAACCCGCCACCCTAACTAAGCACCACAACTTGACGGATATCCAGCTTGCCCTTAAATGAAGATTTTCTTTTTGCATGAAGATTTTCTTTTTGTATCTATTCTATACAGGGTTATTTAGCGCAATTTCCTTCACTCAATGAAGGAAACTATATCAGAAGCAAAACTGGGAGTCCTGGTGGCAGCGTTTGTTCTGGTGAGTGCCGCTTTGCAATTTTAACAAATTTCATGTCCTCTGCGGGAAGGACGGCTTTCTTTGACCACACGTCTAATGCCATCGCAAAGGACGGCGACCGCCTCCAGGCCTCTCCTCGACCCCTCTCCTGCATTTATAGGAGGGGGTCCGTCCCTCACCGCGAACTGGTCACGTGACTGGCCTCGCCCCAGGCCCGGCCGACTGATCCAGTGCGCCGTAGGCATGGTCAACGGTCATGTCATGGCTGATTAAATCGCTCCCCACATACAACGCCACATAGCGACTATGCTCACGGTTTGACGGTGTCTTCGTGGCGGGCTGGTTTTGCATCGGGCTATAGTACGGGAAGGTTCGGGTTTGATCCTTATCGGATCTTTCCGTTTTCCACTGACTGTTTGATCTTATATGCACTTTGAATATCATCGACACTCGTTAGCATTCAGTCATCAGTTTTTGGCCAATCATATCAAGATTAGTTAATTACTGAATCATGTGTTTGTTTATCGAAATCTTAAAATTCCCTTTCATGTAGATAGGTCTCATTCATCATCCTGTGTAACTCATCTGACGCTATAACTGGCTTGTGAGTCATTATTGATGCGACCTCGTCAGAACCGATATGCAAACTGAAGAAACAGCTGTTGTGCTGTCAGCTGTGGACTGTGGTGGCTATGCATCCCGCCCTTTCAATTATACGGCAGCATGAATAGCACAGCCATGAACGCGTTCCATTACCCAGAAAGAACTATCAACACGCTCGCTGGCACATAGAAACCGCCGCTGGACCCGCGCTGCCCAGCGCACCGCTAGCCCGGAAGCGGTTGACGAAGCTGACCCCACTGACCTCGCTCTGCGACCCGACTCTCGATCATGCCACAACCGAGAAGCGCTAGCCTCGACGCAAGGGCACCTGGCACCATTAATGCTGTCTACAAGAACGGTGATTGGTTCGCTGCCGAATCACGTGGTTGGGGCATCAGTGGCGTAATCAGGATTTTAGTTACGAATTTCCTCAACAGATGGCTCTGACCGACGAGTTTAACCCTGGCCCGCACATGGGGGTGGGTGATTGCCACCCCCCCCCCCAAGTAATCTTTCTGCTCTGCACTCAACATTTTTAGAGCTAGAAGCCTGATTTTTCGTATAGCGGCTTCTCTATCCTTTCTTGATAACCACTGAAAATTTCAAGTTGCTGTGGTTTTTGGTTTCGGAGATATGACCTTATTTTTCAGGGCAGGTCATGACCCAAATGACCAATTCTCAACATCTTGCGTTGGCTTTGGGCCTTGTGAGCTTTTGCCACCTTGATTTCGGCCTTTTTTGCCAGTATTACCTCCCACCTATCATGGAACATGATGTTCGACAATGTACAGCCTGTCTTAAAAGTACCGCGCAAAGTGACGGTGGATCCATCAAGCCTGACCGATGAAGGACTGCCAAATTTGAGTCACCGAAGCAATGGACATCCTCGTCCATTCCCCAGCTCCATTGGTTCGGTGGCTTTCAAATTATAGCAGGCCCTTCCTCGGTCAGGCTTGATGGATCCACCGTCACTTTGCGCGGTACTTTTAAGACAGACTGTACAGATGTCAAGGTCAGGGTCAAGGTCAACCTAGGTCATCTAAAATAGGTAATTGCGTTTTAGGCAAGCTGAATTTACTTTTCGTGAAGTTCTTTGACTGCATTTTTGGTAAAAAGCTTCTCAGATCATGATTTCATGTAATTGGACACATTAACAATCGGTGCACACATCAGTACCTATACAAACAGACACACACAGACATACAAACGCATACCTATTTTTAGTTTGACCTGACCTGGAAGGTCAATGACTGACCTGAGAAGGTAAAACTGGGTATCATTGGATTCGTCTCTTCCCAAAAAAATCTTTTTGGTCTTTACCGCGAAGCTCTATCTCCAACAGGAACGAAATGGCGTGGGGGTGGCAACCCCCCCCCCCCCCATGTGCGTTCTAGGATGGGAAAATGGCATGTGCGGGCGAGGGTTAAAATACGGAGTGATCAAGAGGTAGACAGCAAAAGACGAGATTGCAGCTGAAAAGATCTCGGCTTTTGGCTACATTCCAAGTTTCATGGCAGCCGGACAAATAGGTCCTAAGATACAGATGCAAACCCTAGCCACGTACGAATGCCGCACATTACTTCAGCGGTGACCTGTACGTGCATGGTATAGGTATAGATAGCGCGCAACTACCCTACATAAATGACCGTGAATCGATCACGGATCAACTCAGCGACTGCTGCATGAGATCTCTAAAAAGCCACTAAATAAGCTTCTAATAACCGTTACTTGAGCGGACCCCCCCCCCCCCCCTTCACTACACACACACTTTCGAAAACGTTCCTACGCCTATGTATGGCCTACAATTGATGGGATAATTTAGTGTTATCTGCTACCTACAAAGGGGAACGAAAGTATGAGAGATTTCCCAGCCCTGAGAAACACATGGCTGGAGGCGGGCCGCCACATTTCACGTCCCTCAGCGCCGAGCGGTCGGCGGCCGGCCACCACAGCTGTCGTAGAGAAACCTAGTTGACAGCTCATAAACACACGAAAACAGAAGGGAACATGGTTTGATTGCTAACAATCGGTATCGGCGCGTCTGATGTCCTGCAGCTCTGTTTCGGGTCACAATGTCGTTCGGTCACTACACATGTGCCAGCGAAGTTCTCAGGTCATGTGACTGAGGGAGTCGGCGTCCTATTTGTTCTCGCAGTTGGGTGCGTGCCGGTTTTCTGGTAAACAGCGAGTCGATGTTTGCTGGATTATGTGCATATTGCCTTTGGTCGGTGCCGACACAATAGAGGGTGGTGATTTCTTTGAGCTTGGCCGATAAAACATTAGCTTATATCTCCCTATGTTTTGTGTTCTCAGTTCGGCTTTGTCAACAGCGAAACGATAGCAAAGTATCATCACTGTTTTATTTGAGACACGAGCTTGTGCGATTTTCTTAGTCAATAAATAATGTATCACTGTATGTAGTCACTAAAAATGTATAGGAGAATCTCTGAATAAAATTTAGATCGTTTCCTTCTGCTACGGTAATAAACTGTTGAAAACTAGGTACGGCTGATAAACCTTAACCCTCGCCGGCACAGGCCATTTTGAGTCCTTCGACGGCACAAGGGGGGGGGGGGTTGGTACGACCCCCCCTCGCGTTTGGCCCCTGATTGAGCTAGAGCTTCGCGGAAAAAACGAGCGTGTTGCCCGTCACGAGACGAAGCCGATGATACCCAATTTTAAGGTCCTAGGTCATCGGGTGACCTTCCAGGTCAGTTCAATGACCCGAAAACCGGGAAAATCGGGACCTGTTAGAAAGTCGTAAAGTGTGGCTGCTATGTGGTTTTTCGGGGTGCTGATCACGAATATTGTGTTAGTTTTGATCAGAGATGATGTCTTTAAGCATTTAGACCAGGTCGGTTCAGGTCAGGTCAGGTCAACCGGTAGGGGTTGTGACGGGTATTCGTAATACGTGTCAACCGCCTCGGACAGCTTCGTAACATGTTACGAAGGCACCAAAACTACTTCGTAAATGTTCAAATGGTTACTAAATTCGAATTCAGCTCCAAAAACTAGCCTAGAAACATGTAAAACTCGAAAAAGTGAACCAAGGTCACCCGAGGTCACCAAAGGTCAATGACCTGACCTGACCTTCAGGTGACCTTGACACCCACCCTAATGCATGGGAGCAACATCAAATCACATGTTTGAACATTTGAAACCACGAAAAGCTTGCAAACGCGCGTCTAATGCGAGCCGACAAGCGCCGAACCGCGATTTCGGCCAAACATGGTCACAGAAAAGAGGTCACAGGTCAAAGGTCATTGGGGTCAGGGTCATGAAATTTTCAGGGTAGGTGTAAAATTGATCAATGCGAGGGTACTGAAAGTTTCGTCGCGATCGGCCGCTTTTTACGCGAGTTATTCGCGAAAAACCTTAGGGGGGGTTGCATCAACCCCCCCCCCCCCCTGTGCCGGCGAGGGTTAATTCTCGCATGTGTGCGGCGTTTGCCAGCTTCTAATGTGTAGGGGGGGGGGGTCGGTTGGACCCCCTTGCCGTTTGGCTCCTGATCAAGCTAGAGCTTCGCGGAAACAACGAGCGTGTTTCCCGTGACGAGAGGAAGCCAATGATACCCAATTTTAAGGGCCTGGGTCATTGGTTGACCTTCCAGGTCAGGTCAATGGCCCAAAAGTCGGGAAAATCGGGACCTGTTAAAAAGTCGTAAAGTGTGGCTGCTTAGAGGTTTTTCGGGGTGCTGATAACGAAAATCGTGTTGGTTTTGATCATAGATGATGTCTTGAAGCATTTAGACCAGGTCGGGTCAGGTCAGGTCAGGTCAACCAGTAGGCATCGTGACGGGTATTCGTAGTAGGCGTCAACCGCCTCTGACAGCTTCGTAACATGTTACGAAGTCACCAAAACTACTTCGTAAATGTTCAAATGGTTAGTAAATTCGAATTCAGCTCCAAAAGCTTCTAGAAACATGTAAAACTAGAAAAAGTGAACCGAGGTTACCACAGGTCAATGACCTGACCTGACCTTCAGGTGACCTTGACACCCACCCTAATGCATGGGAGCAGGATCAAATCACATGCTTGAACGTTTGAAACCACGAAAAGCTTGCAAACGCGCGGCTAATGCGAGCCGACATACGCGGAATCGCGATTCCGGCCAAACATTGTCTCGGAGAAGAGGTCACAGGTCAAAGGTCATTGGGGTCAGGGTCATGCAATTTTCAGAATAGGTGTAAAATTGATCAATGGAGGGTACTGAAAGTTTCGTCGCGATCGGCCGCTTTTTACGCGAGTTATTTGCGAAAAACCATGGGGAGGGTCCATCCGCCCCCCCCCCCCTACACATGCGACTATAGAGTGCTATAGAGTGCATAGATATGCAGCATAGATACAATCAGTTTAGGGCGGGGCAATAAAAAGCAGCCAAGTCACGGCAGGTTCAAGTACCTACTTGGTGACAAAGCAAAATGGCCAGTCATTGACGTATCATGCGCGATAGTTCAGATCGTCCATCTCTACAAAGTGGCACCGCGGCCCAGAACACGTCGACACGTCAGTGGGGGTGTAGTCAAGCACCCCGGCCTCGTCCGATGTGTTTGCGATAAAGATTGAATCAAGTACCGCAGCTGTAGTCGAGAAGGGGCAAAACATAATCCCCCGCAGTGATCCGCGGGTCGGTGACAAATGTTATGTATAGTGTCACAACGGCCGACGAGAGGTGCGCACCGCATCGTCAGGGAATTATTCGTTTGCATGAAAAGCAAACTAAAAGTTTGTCAGTAGTGGCACTAACAACTACCCGTACCCATCCAACATCGTCTGTTTCGCATCTCACATGAGAAATCCCCAATCATCCGTCCATGTTTCCAGCTTACCTGCGGGTGGACACTCGCCGTTGCAGTAGCACCAGTTGTCGGGGTTCGTCTCAGGCGCTGCGAACATCATCTCATCGGCCTGGAATCTGTACCCGTCCAGTCCGTACATGGACATCTCCTCCTTGTAGGGAACTCGCAGAGAGCTGCCGATCATAGGACAGAGGTCAGTGTCAGTGCCAAATGGCGACCAAAATTATGAGTGGAGCTAAAAAGGCTTTTGGGGTCGACAATCCGTGATAACGATAAAAAGCACACATAATGCATAAATGATCCCTTCATAAAAAAACACCTATTATAGCACCAATTTTAACCTCACTTTTATGTCAATGCTTCTTTACGACAGCTGTAAATGGGCGCCCACGCACCGGCAGATGTCCGTAGAGTAGAATTCGACGTAGTCTCGCTGTCGGCGCGGGTGGAAGAGCTCGCCGGCCGAGCCGTTGATCATGTTGCAGGGCGCCTCGAACGCGCTCGTCTTGTCTGTGTTGTTCCAGTAGTGGAGACGTCCCAGCTGGGTGACCTCGGCGCCCGTGTCCATGTTGAACACGCCGTCGTAGTAGTTGGAGCCGTTCCTCTGTGAAGGAGAGAGAAGGGGTGTTTCAGAGCTACGGCAACATCAAGAGGTTGATTTTGTGACTGTGTGCACTTTGACCCAATGGACACTAATGCTGTTAATAATACGCTATTCAGCGTTCTTGGTACGTGCAAAATGATTCAAGGTCGGCATGACGAAGGTGCGTGATAGTAGCGCGTCCATGCTCCGGCCTCTGTGCAGTTGTTAGATGTCATCTTCTCGCAGCGCAAGGTCGTGATAAGTCCCGCTTCAACGCACTTCTCGAGTCACATCTCTATTGCACCGCTATCTTTCGTCTCAGGGGCATCCACTTCAGGATGACCTTTACAACGTGTCACGCAACATAGGTAGGTACTTCAAGTGCGTAAGTGGCTCCTACCAGCTTTAAACGGTACTAATGAATGTATCAACGGAATGTAAACCACTGGAATGTTAGTAAAATTAGGCAGTAAAATATGAGGGCGCAACCAGCTTAATTAGGTTAACAATCAGATCAGAAGATTTACTGGTTTACGCCTCATATCAAGTTACATGACATGCTTCAGTTTTTTATTTCTTTTTTTTTTTTGCATCGCCAATTCATTTTGGCCCATCCGGTTCGAAGCTGCAAGTCATCACGGTCTATGCGGGTCTGAACACCCATGGTATAGTGTCGACATCAGCTGTGAACTAAGCTACGGCATATTTGTTTGTTTGTTTTGCTGGGTTAGGCCCTTTCGGTCTGACAAGACCATTTCAGAGCCGGGAGGATGATAGGAATTAGGGGGAGACATCGGTCTGGGCAGCACCCTAGTGAGTCGCCGGGGCTGAGCCCGTCCAGAGGACAGGCCACCCAGCCCCAAGGCACTCACTGCACCCGGCTACGGGGTGCGCTCCCTCAGGAGCAGCGGTGCCGCTCCAAGGGAGCAGCCCGCATGAGATAAAGTTGCCTGTCCAGCCCGGAGGGGGGTTGCGGCGTGGAGAAGGATTTCAGTATCCTGAGGATAGAAGCACGGAACGGTGAAGCTACGGCATAGCTCTTTGTATGCCCTTATAGCGTATACAGACGATCCATGGCTTCGGCCATCACAAACGGCACGGTGCTAGCTTCCAAAGCTGGTTAAATTCGCAGGGCCCAACGGCGTGCGAATGAATCAGTAGCCTCGCGCGTCCTGTCAGCGCCGTCCTTTCTGGCCGTCCTCCTCTGTCTGTCCGTCTGCTTCGCAGTCTTCGCAGTCCGTCTGCCTGTCCACATCGCAGCCTCCCAGTTTGACCACCACCCCTCTTACAATCGTCATCGGCTCAACCGTCTCCCACAAACCTACTCCTCTCCCCGCGTAACATATTTTGCCCATCCCTGTCCTGTCTCCCTTCGCTTAGCCCTGTTCTGCCTGGCCGTCTTCCGTCATTTTTGTCCTATCCCGTGTTCCCAATCCTGTGCCGTTTCTCCTGGACCCCATGTCTGTTTTCTCTCTCGCGCCGGTCCGCCTCGCGAGCCAGTCTGTGGTGGTATAATAGTTATAAATTTCATCCTCCCCAGCACTCGCCTCACGAAAGCCTTGCCTGACCGCGAACAAGGGCAGGCTGCTGCCGGTGCGACGCATTTCAGAAGGCGCAGACGCCCTTCGGCGGCTCACACAGATGATATTCAGGATGGGACAAGTGCGCTCTTCCGGACATTTTTTTTCGACGGGTTACAATTGTAAACAACAAGCAGATCGACGGGCCGACGAGTGGTACTGAAGCAGTGATGACATGTTGTCGCAATGTCGCATGATGTAACGTTTGTGAGACACAAACCAGACAGACCCGCGGCCTTTCACAAGTCAATTTAAACACAATGCGCGGTGCCCGTTCCCGCAGGCGGCGCTAGCTCTCAAGCTCATCTAACCGCTTTGTGCCATTTCAGATAGCCTAAATTGTATCTTGGCAGCGGCTAACAGACACCGAACGAATCTGTGTTTTGATGTCAGTTCTTGAAAATGAGAGGTATTAAGTCATTTGACCATGAACATGTGTACCCACAAGTTACATAACTTGTTGATAGGCACTCACTCGGGAACACCCATTTTCTAGAAGTTATGGACGCTATACTCAATCCAGCGCGGCTAAATCCCAATCATGGTCATTTCCAGCATCGATTGAGCCAAAAATGCCTTGTAACACCTCGGTAATAAGCAAAATTTTTGTCCCATAAAGAAATGCGACTATTCAAAACAGGCTTTGGGCAATAAACTGCGATAATATGTTCAATGTTCAACACAAAGAAAGATGAGACAGCAATTAGCGCGTCAGCCACATCGTTCTTGCCATGTCGAGTCCAGCACGACGCAGTCATACTACCCTCATCTTGGGTACAGATGTGGCGAGAGATGCGACCGCGGGTCAAGGCAGCTTGGTCGTCGCAAGAAAATCCCAAACTGAAACTCAACTACGCAGCCCAGATTTGGCCGACCTTCAGCAATGGCGAAAAAGGCCTGGGAAAGCGGAGTTGACCCTGGTTGGCTTTTGTTTTGCTCACAATTCCCATCTTATGCGCAGATTGCCGGCGATACGAGCGATGGATGATGATCCTTGTGCACTGAAAAAGCCCTGACCGGGAAGATGCGTCCCAAGAGAGTGCACGGACGATGAGGGACGAAGCGGGGGCGACACTGACCGCCAATCGGCCAAAGTACGGAAATCACTCAGTGCGGACTGAGTACGCATGTATAGATTGACGGCACGATAGAGAGGGCGGCAGGATCTTCTCTCCTGTCATTCTGCCCACTCACGTGATCGATAGTTGCAGTCACATGATCTGAGACAGGGCAAAGTGTCGCAGCGGGTGCACTTTTAACCCGCGCCCGGCTGGGGGTCCTGGATTTCCACGCCCTGCTGGGGGGGGGGGGTGTTTGAACACCCCCCCCCCCTTGTAACTCGGCTCCTGGGCCACGTAGCGATACGCGGAAGGCGGCGTTCGAAAGAGCGTCAAAAATAATGACGAAATCACTTCGGTCAATTTTTTGGTCAGGTCAAAGGTCAGGTCACCAGAGGTCATTGAAGGCAAAACTTCGCCGATTTCCAGGTCGAATGTCAAAAATTTCCAAGAAGCCAACGCATAACTCGGGAACCAATAGAGCTACAGCGCCGCGGAAAAGCGCATTCGATAGCCCTATTAACGCCCTTTCTGAGTAATTCTCTCAGATTTGACCTAACGTCAACGGTTTTGCCTGCAGGGGGCAAAAACTGCAAAAATAGCCGATTTTTTCGGAAACAGTTTTTCTGCAATAACTTTTGACCCAAGCCCTGTACGAGCTTATTTTTACCGGCATCGTGTTCCTCTCGTCAAGACGCATCGAATGAACTATAACTTGACCTTGAAAGGTCAACTTGAAAATTTGACCTCAGGTCAAGGTCATGACCTGACCGGAAAGGGTCATGTTGCATATCAGTCGATCCGTATCGTCGAGCTGAACACATCTAAGGCGTTTTCATCGCTCTAGCATGCCTCTATCAAAAGTTATTTGCGAAAAACTGATAGATACCATTCGTGACCTAAGATGACCTCAGGGCATAAACAAGGGTCACGGACACCATTTTCATGTTCAGTGTGTCTAAACCACTTGTAATTCGGTGTTTGGGAGTGTTTATAATGTCCTTCGTCCAAAAGAGGCGCATTTCAATTTTCTCCCATTGACTTATAATGGGGAGGTCGCAAAATTGACCTGACCTTAGGTCATCGATATCAAAATTCTGAGATATACATTTTGTACATGCTATTGCTCTTAGCGATCGCTGAAAGTTTCAAAGCGATCGGTCACTCGGTGTAGCTATGACGGACATTGAAACTTTTTATGAGGTGAGGTCACTTCATGTGACCTGGTGACCTGACCTTGAATGACCTTGGTCTGAAATTTTCACAACATGTGTAGAATTGATGTATGATAAGGTGTACTAAAAACGGCGGCGCTCCGCGCCGCCGTTTTTGAGATATTCGCGAAAAACCACAAGGGGGGTGTTCAAACACCCCCCCAGCAGGGCGCGGGTTAATAACGTCGTCTCGTGCATTTTGGTTTTTGAGATGCCAAGCCATTTGCTTGAAATAATAGGTATAACTCTGAGCCTATACTATCCCGCTGATTTCATCATGCAGAAACAACCAAGCGTGGGTACTACCATTACAACATGTATATCGTGCGTTAAAACTTAGAAATCGTTGATTTGCAGATAATGGTTCGTGCAGCATGCCTCACCATGGAATGCAGCCCACTGAATAGCTCTCAGCTAGGTTACTGGCCAGCAAGCTAACAGGGGCATTCCACGATAGATCGTACCACTTTTTTCCAATTTGACACCCTCATCTCTCGGATTTTAACGATAATTGGTCTAAGGGGTAATCAGGGGCTCTGAATCCTCCTGTAACAATTTCAGGCTTATCAGATTAGTGGTTTTTGAGTTATAGTGTATAGCATGTTTTGGATCTTGCGTTGCAGCCCCAAGTTTGGCGGGCTGTAACTCTAAGACGGATAATCCAAATGCCAAATGCTATACGGCATTGAACTTGCATTGAAACAAAGAATAATATGCATTTTTAAAATTTTGAAATTTACATTATTTTTGATATATAACACCTCGAGTTTCCTTTCATTTGCATTTTTAAGCCTTCGGGACCAAATTTTTTTGAATTTTTATTTACTTAAAAACATTTTTGGATCATTTTTAAGTAGTATGCAAAAAATTAGGAAGGTGTTCTTTCTATAAATGTACTTATTTTGGGTCACCGTAATGGTCTCGAATTGTGATTTCGGAAGAGAGCCTACAAATGGTGTGGTAAAGCTGCCTAGTGACATCACTGGTTACTGAAAGTTCAATTGAAGTCATTTTTGCCTCACTTTTGCATTGCTGACCTTGCGTGACGTCATTCCTACGTCACTAGGGTCAATAAGAGTTTTCCGTCAATAACTCTCGATCAAATTGAGCTAGAGAGACGGGAAAGCTACCAATGGACTCGGGAAGACATTGCGAATCGAATGATGTGCAATATGATCTCATTCACCCAGCTTCGTAGCCTGACCGGACTGTTAACCATCTCTGTGGCGGCGCTGTTTGTCCAGCGCCGCGCTGGTTGGCTTTGCCGCGGACTCGGGGCGGTCACGTGATGCCCGGCGGCTGGCTGCCGGCTGGGCCGCCCGGTCGGGGAGCGGAGCCAAATACACGGCAGTGTGCTGACCCGAGGTCAGCGACTTAAGCTGACCTCACCAGAACAAACAGGATACCATTCGACGCGCCGGAGCTAGGCAAACACAAAGATGCTGAAATCGCGGCTCTGCGACCATTTGTTGCGAAGTTATCTATCAAAAACCGGACCCGTAATTTGGGTCACTTGAAATGACCTCAGGGGTCACCAATGAACCCGAGACCTTAAAATGTGGTATCATTCGATGCATCTTGTAACGGCGCACATGCCCGTTTTTTCCGCAAGGTTCTAGCTCCATTACAGGCGAAACGGCGAGCTGGGGTCGTACCGAACCCCCGAAAACCCATTTTGTATACATTTAAATGAGGAACTTATAGAAAGAACACCTTTCTAATTTTTTGCATGTCGATTTTAAAGGACCTGAGGTTTACTTTGAAGAAATAAAAATGGCAAAAAATTTGGTCCCAAGGGCCATCATAGACAATTTAAAAAAATACTACGACTTTTTTCAATATGTAAAGCTTTTCTTTCCAATTTTAAAAATACTGTATTAATCTTTGATTCATCGTTAGTTCAGAGCTGTTTACCGTTTGTTGCTTGCTTAGCTCGTTTTTGAGTTATAGCTCATCAAACTCACCCTTACAATCTGAAGTTTAGAAAATATTATGCAATGTAACTCAAAAAGTTTTCATCTGAGAAGTCTGATATTTTGGCAGGTGTTTTTGGAGCCTATGATTACCCCTTGTACCAATTTTCATTCAAATCTGAGAGATGAGGGTGACGGGCCTGGTACGATCTATCGTGGAATGCCCCAACAGTCAATAATGCAAGTCACTAGAAGAGACCGCAATGATCGTGATTCAGCACATTCTCAGTTCAAAAGACGTTCTCCGTACACATTGCAAGCTCTAATTCGCACAGGCGGTCCTCCGGTCTTGGTCCATAGACTGAATCCAAGTCCATGCGGGCAATGTCATCGTATCTCCATATCAAAGAAGTATCTGGCAGACCCTATCACTAGCGATCCTTTGTGGTTATCCGCCGCTATAGAAGTATGGAACATCCCTAATCTATTCAGTGGCCAACCCCAGAGCCCCCGTGACAAACATGAATAGCAAAATCATCACATAAAGGCAGACAATATGAGAAGTCAGCTACACAGTACCAATTCACGTGAGCCAGCACAACTCACGTGCCCTGGACGTGTGATAGGCGACTGCGTATCTTCCTTCGCACAAATCTATGGCTTCCAATCAGTTCGTGACCGGTGAGACGATAAACACCTGGCGCAAAACATTATCGGAGCGCTCACCTTCCCACGGCGTCACCCACGCAGGGCGGCACGCGCGCCGACCGTGACCCGCAGTCACGTTTTCACGGAGGCGTCATCAGAAGCCAGTCACGTGACGGCCCCGGGAAAGGAGGTTCTGATTCTACGGGTCTGACAGGCTATAGAGTGGGGCTTCACCGAGAGTGACAGAAAAGCATGCGGCTGCAGTCCCAATGAAAAGGCTGACGTGCAGGACGCCTGACAAGGACGCTTATAGCACGCGTGACTCTGACACACTCAGTTCTGGCCGCCACTGTGCAGTGTGCACTCAACTGCATCGCTTTGTATTTGTCTCTTAATAACTTTAGTTATGAGGACTCGTAGAAGACACGTGCTGCATTGAAACGTGACGCGCTCCACGTCTTAACGTGAATGGCTCCCTCGTGCTACCAGCCAATATAGATTTCAGCACGCAGTTAGGTAAATAAAATTGTGGAAGTCAGTAACTGAATACAGCACTACGCCGAGGTTAGAAGCTCCTTGGTGTTCCAAACGTAGTGCAATGAACGTATGCGTATGCACGCTGACGCTGACGCTGACGCTGACGCTGTAACGGGAAGAAATTTGCATCTCCAAACATGCGTAAAAAGTAAATATGTAAGCAGTAAATAAGTAAATCGCTAGTAATGCCACCGGAGACTTTGCGTCTCCCCAGCCAAAATTCTTACAGATATCCCGAGCCCCGGCTACTCACGCTATAGAACCATCCGAACTTGTCGAACGGAATTGTGATGTTCACCAGGTACTTGATGACGGCGGCAGCGTCCAGCAGCGGGTCGTCGTAGCCGTCAAACAGCAGCTGAGTGGCCGTCTTCGTAATGAACAGCTGCGTGTCGACGTTGTTGACCATCTCGTTGAACATGACCTTCATGAAGTAATCCATGTCCTTGATCATCGCTGCCGCCGCCTGCCAGCCAACGAGTCCGAGGTAAGGTCAAACGGTTTGAAAGATACGACACACCGCCACATGATTGTGGCATGTGATGAGTAGTACTTGCTAGAAATCAGGTGAAATTGCGCACGCACGGTCGGTGTATGTGCAAAGCATTTCTCTCTGCACACGCCTGAGGATACGTAAATAAATGTTCATCCATGCATATTGACGGTGAACTAATCTTGTTGGCTGAAAGGACAATGTTACCTCTCGCAAAGTGTCTAAGTCAGTCACGATAGCAAACGAACGATCAAATCAAGCATCTTATAAGAGGCAATGTCTGCCCTATCGTGTCCTATCACATCAACAAAGCATCAGCCTGCATCAATGTGCACGAAGCTTCAGACGCACAGAAGACATCACAACGTGACTCAAATCGGGAGCCATTGCCGTAGGCGAATCACGTGTTCACAACGGAAGTCCGACCACCCCATATTGCTTCCTTTCGCTCCTATTCCAGAGGTGTGCGACCGTCAGACCACTAGCCAAGGTCACCAATATTGAGAGGTGGCGAACCGGAGAGGTCGTCACGTACGGGGTCGTCCCTCCCATCCACGCACTTATGAGACAGCTCCCTCACCGTCCGGCTGACAACAGGGCAAGAGGTGAACGGCAGAGAGAGAGAGAGAGAGAGAGAGAGAGAGAGAGAGAGAGAGAGAGAGAGAGAGAGAGAGAGAGAGAGAGAGAGAGAGAGAGAGAGAGAGACAGAGAGAGAGAGAGAGAGAGAGAGAGAGAGAGGGCGGACGGAAGATAGACGGAAAGAGGGATGGAAAAGAGAAAGAGGATAGACAGACATTGAAGCCTTTTGGATAACTTGTAGGTAAATGGTTCTTGACATCCTGCTTCGCATTTTGTTTCATGCTTGACACAGCTACAGGCGATACTTCAATAGGGAGACCCAACTCACAAGTTTATCATCCATTGCTCAATGTCATCGATACCAATGAAATACATTATAACGACTAGCTTAGTCGGATGCCTCTGCATAACCTCCCATACCCTGCATACCCTGGGACCTTATATGATCTTGACCTATAGGCTACAGTCAACCTTGCATGGCTCTATGATATCAATAAAAACAATTGTCCCACTTCAACTCTGCAGAAACATACAGCTATGCTAGAATGCAGGGGACCTCTGCCAGACCACAAAACCATTGGTTGCGACCGGACGGACAGATAATATGACGCCATAGCCTAGTGACCTCATTTGATAGAAAACCAATGTTTTAAATTAGTTTTTTGTCCGAGAGACGATCACAAACGTGTGCCGCACTTCGGCCCGGTCCAGGTGCGTGGTCTGAAGATATCTGCTAAAAAAAATTAGTGGCTGGCTGCAGAATCCTATACCGTCCCTGCGACAGCTATTACACCTGAAAGATAACTTTTATGCGACATAATGGAGCCACACCAGCTCATGAAGATTTTTTTTCAAGGTCAGGACCCAGCTCACTACCAGTTGGTCAGTAGTCAGGGCGTTCAGTGGGGAGACGCGGGCATGCGCTGGACAGTGTTCACGAGGGAGCGTTTTTTGCCTTGAGATTTCGCAGAGCCTGATCCGATAGTCATATCAGCGTATGGTAACCAAGCCATCAAGCCATCACAACAATGACTGTGGTGAAGTAATCAGTATCCTACAAAGAAAGATGAAAAAAGCCAGAGATGCTCGCTGTAATGCTGCGTCATCTGATCTGCTGATTGTTCGGTGTCCGTCACTCGGGTAAACTTATTTGGACAGAGCAGAGAGCTTCCGGCTGGTGTGGCGAGATCCACTGATAGTTGTGATATAGGTCACTTGGCTACACCTTTGTCAGAGAACGCAGGAACGAACCGCAACTCAAAAGTCACTGGTATTTACGCAAGCAATCTTTCACAGATAATGTAAAATGACGTCAACCAGAAAACCCACAAAACATTGTTACCAGTTACGATGTCACATAGAATTTGCCTGGCAACAGAAGTGAGGCGATGAGATCACAACGGATTACGCAGCAACAGATTAATGTGATTCATACCTTTTCGTGCGCTTTATGTCCCTACTGTACTGACATGTGGAACCTCGGGCAATAATTATCGCCATTGTTGGGACTCGTATGGGGAGCTCATAGTTACAGCAATACAAGGAGGTTGCAGTAACCATTCTTCACCGGTTTAAAACTTCGGAGTAGACTTTTTCGCCAAAGGGATACACTGTTAAAACTTATCCCGCGCCCCACTGGGGTCTGCGTATAACACGCCCTACTGGGGGGGGGGGGGGGCTATTCATAGCCCCCCTCCTAACTCCGAAACTACTGGGCCGATCGTCAAAATTCAAACGGCGTCTGATAGCCCCGGAAAAACTGTCGAGCGAAACCTAATTTCATTGACCTCGAGGTCACCGATGACGTCACAGGTCAGGTCAAAGTAAAAATTATTAGCATTTTGGCTTGTTCACGTTTTGGGCTTTGGCCGCCGTCTTACAAGTCAGATCAGGCTCATTTTTGGATCACACACTCGTGAACAGATGCTCTAGATACCCTGAGGGTACCAAACTTGTACTTTGATTTTCAGGTCAAGGTCAGGTCATCACAGGTCACGAAAATATTATATCATGAGTCGGTCACGTGACACATGTTTTATGGTCCATTTAGGTCCGAGATTTCGAATTTGATGTCGTCTGTGTCATTGGAGGTTATTTTGAGTCGAATTTAGCTTAGGTCAGGTCACTTTCAGGTCAAAAAAGGTCAAATTTTGAAGTTGAAATTTTTCAACAAAAAAAGGTGTCTATTGGATGCAGTTTGAGCTCAAAAACACGATGGTGCTATTTATATTGGCGTGCGATGTCAAATACGTGCTGATAAATTGATTTGAAAAATTAATAATTGTGAATTTTTGCAATAATGCGTAAAACTTGGCCATTTTTGAAGATATTTAGGTAAAACTTGCTAGAGTTAGTCATAATAATGCGTTCTATCACATATATTCCGTTTTTTTTTCGAAAAGTCAAAAACTTTTTGAAAAAAAATGTAAAAATATAAATTTTGGATTTTATTATATTAATTTTCCCAAATTTTCAAATTTCAAAAATCCGAGATAGCAGTTAGATAGCGCAGTCTATTCTGAGTCCTCTCATGCAAAGAAATTGGATCTAGCTGAAAAACTGAGCTCTTGGGAGCGACTGCCGTGGTTCAATGTTTTGCGTCGAAATCGGCCAAACATGACGTCACTCTGACGTCATTTCCGGCCGACCGATAGTATATACGATGTTCAAATGTTGACACAAGGTGTCAAATTGATGCAGCCTAAGGTACTGAAAGTTTGGCGTCGATACGTCAAGTGGTTTGGAAGTTATTGCAGAAAAACGGGAGGGGGGCTATAAATAGCCCCCCAGTGGGGCGCGGGTTATGCTCATGCATAGGCAGACAACACATATATTATTTATCACCACCAGCAACCGTACAATCACTACCCTAACCATCACCAACATCTTCCCATCCACCCTCACCATCGTGTTCAGACACCACCCTCAGCACCAACAACACATTCAGACGCCGCCCTCACCACCACCAACACGCTCAAAGACTGCACTGACCAGCAGCGGCACGTTCATAGACTACAGCACTCACCAGCAGCGGCACGTTGAGGCTGGTGATGTTGTCGTCCAGCCGTCCTGCCGACAGGTCCGGCTCGAAGTGCCACGTCTTCACCTGCATGTAGGTGATAGTGTCGTTGGCGTTCCACGTCATGTTCACCTTCAGGTGTTTCTCACTGCCGACAGGGTTAGCTTGGCGTCAGTTTGGTGGTTCACCGAAAAGGGAAGCAAGCACGGTGAAAAAGGACTCGAAAGGGAAGGGGCTAGAAGGAGAGAAGATAAATAACTACTCCAAACTCGATTAACCAGGATTGAAATTCCGCTTCGAATTTGATTGGGGTTATTGACAACAGACAATCATGGACGGATGGGCAAGAACTATTAACCTATCAAGCCCGTAAAAGACGTCTAAATGTCATTCGAGAGTGGAGACTGTTAGCTGTCAGCAAATGAGGCGTTATTCACCAATCTATGCAACTGTACTTTCAAGGCCTGAACTCAAGAGGCAGTGGGTAGTGTGCACAACAGCCAAATACTGTTTCAGCGGCTCGGTCGGCCTTGACAGACTCCACGCTAAGCAGTTTCAAGGTGGAATATCTCGTCAATGGCTGGAATCGCATCCTCGGAGTCCCGAGATCCGGCTGGCCGGCCCTCTGGGCGTCGGAATGACCTGTTGCAGGCTGAGTTGCAGCACTCACAGGTCACAAACGTCTGATAATCTCATGCGACGCTGAACCATTTATAGGCACCCAGCAGAGATTTAGTGCGCGTAGGCATGGCATGAATGACGTCTGCCTTCATGGCACTCCCAGTTGAAGGCCCATATATAGGGACTTACTAAAAAGAGCAGTGCTGCAAGGACTGTTAAGTGTTACTAATGTCTCGCAATTCCCGGCTAGTCGCAAACGGAGTATGGGAGCGGCCCGGGGCGGTGCTGAAACAGGCAGGTAAACAACCGCACCCTGACTAGGCCAGACGCATAAAGCTATAAATCGTCAGCTTATCACCGATTTTAGACTACGTAAAAGGCCCCGTGCATAATATGATCGCTTGCTGAATTGGAATGAGTCAAAACCGGTAAGCCATCACAACCACTACTCTTACAGCACTCCGATGGGTCGCAATTCAGTGCTATGTGGCTGACCGTAGGTACATAACCGGTCCTCAACGGCAGCCGTGCGGTCCAGTTTGAGGCTAATGAGACCCGTTCAGAGGCATATACTGATCGGACCTGTGAGCACATGGCACGCGCCGAGAAACCCACCGAACCGCTCCGCTCAAAACTTGCTGAGTAAGCCGCGTCGTGACGTAATCCAAGATGACGTCATCCCATGGTGAATAGCTGCTGGTCCCTCTGCATAGGCGGCGGAACGGGGAGGGCACCGGGGCACCGTGCCCCCCTTTGATTTTGGCATTTTAACATTAGCCCTATGGGCGTTGCATGGAAAGAATGGGACCAAAAGTCGGCAGTGCCCCCCCCCCCCCCCTTAATTGAAGGTGTTCCGCCGCTACTGTCCCTCTGTGTGCGAGGTAGTCACTAAGCTGACGGTTCGCTAAGGCTCCAGAACAGGTTAGTCACCACCGCCGACAGCAGCTGCCACCGGGACCGGAGCTCAGGTGACGAAAGCTAACAGTCGTGAGTGACGAAATGCACCGGACAAGATCACCTGACCACACAACTGACAAGCTGACATCCAGACTGCATGGCAAATGCGACTCGGCACCATAAAGGAATGGGCTGATGCCTTGCAATGTTTCGCAAGATTTAGGGCCTGTTCCAGCGCCTCCAGTAGAAATTCTTGACTGGAGGCTCTACCAGGTTTCACAGGAGGCGCTGGAACACAATCTGGAGATTTCTGGAGATTGGCGTCACAGATACCAAAAGAATGGCGATTTTTCTCTCTTGAAAAGCAAAATTTGTTTTTAATTTTAGTAAGAAAGATGAACAAAATTATGGCAATGTATTTTTTCTTTACATTCAAGTTGTAAAATTATCAGTCAAAAGTCCTTTGTTTACGTTCGTGATTGTCACATGTGCGCCATAATTGTAGACCAGAGCCTCCAGAGAAATATGGACCTCTCAACTCCCTGGAGGCTACTGGAGGTTTCTGGAGCTTTGGCAAGAGCTTTCTGGAGCTTTCTGGAGGTGCTGGAACGCTCTCTGGAGGATTCTAGAGCTTTCTGGAGGTTTCTGGAGGTTTCTGGAGGCGCTGGAACATGCCCTTAGTGCGAGATTAAACAGAGACGAGCTACGAGCGATTTGCGCACGCGATTGACGCAAAGAGAGGAGTCAAAGTATAAGGAGAATAAATAGGGAAAGGGAGAAGACGGCGGGGCCAAGAGGATGTGAGAGAATATTTTGAACAAGAAGAGGATAGGCCAGTGTGAGGCATAGTCAAAGGGGTTGGGGAGAATAAGAAGAGTGATGGAAACAGGAGAAGAAGGAAGGCACTGAGTACGAGGAGGATGGAGAAATACTGGACAATTACACTCGGGGGTCAGTGTGGTCGTCCTTTGTCTGAACCTTGAGACACAAATGTCTCAAGGTTCATTGGATCTTGAGACAAGTGGGAAGTGCACTGAGGTGCCACTATCGGTGATAGCGCCATGGCGCAACCTTACGTAACAATCCGACACGTGCACCATTGAAAGGACGCGTTGCGATCCATCTCAAGGCAACAGTCAAGTACCGAGCGTTTATTCTGTGCCGACTTCTGATTCCGTCTAATCCCCGGCACTTCAGGCAGTTTAAACGTGCAGGTGAAAGTTCACGAATTATAACAAAAATAACTAATTCAAGAAAAACACATTATTCAACTGACAGCAATGACAGGGGTTCTATTGACCAGGACTTCTATAGACCAGGACTGTGATCTATAGACTGTGTAAAACAGTTCGAAAAAGGCCCAACCACGGAAAACGGGACTCTGAACGGATAAAAAGTGAAGAGCAGTTGCCGATCTACTGACAATATTTGGGTCACTAGCCCCGTCCACAACCACTGAAAGCAGGACCACATCTCCGCTCTACAGTGCAGTCCCACCGCCGCGTGGTCGTCTAAATCGGACCACACTTCACTCGGTGGGCGTTTCTTCAACCCTTCACCGCGCTCGAGCTCCCATGCCTACTCAGTGGATCACCACCGCCGTTCGGCAATAAAAAGCAGGTGGAGCTAGCAAGCGTTGGAGTCCCTCATGGGCACCAAACCGCAACATACCGGTTCCGAGTGGTCTGCGACAGATGTCACACCGCAGAGCCACTTCACCGCCGGGCTTGGGGCCACTCAGACGCTCGATGAGACCCACCATGGCCGTTGGAAGTCCCGAAGAGAAGTTGCCAGCCAGCCTTGAGGCTGTTCAATGTTCACTCGGGCGAGAGTGAGTGAAACAGGGGAAGAGCCTCCTGATCAGAAGTGAAACGTGTTCGTGTCGAAAGCTAACGGCCATCTAACAGTCAAGGGAACAGTCAAGGGAAACAGTCACACTTTTACAAGCTTGTTTTACGAGCTTACTGAGATTAATTCTCCACATTTCACTAAATGAGCCGCGACTCGCGAGATTAGAAACTGTATGCTTCGACTTGAATGCGTCCATCGCTAGGACTTCACCTTAAACCTTTGCAATGAAACCAACGTAAGTCGTAGAAAATTTTGAATGTCCTACGAGTAAAAGCAAGAAAAAAAAACACTTAATCCGGACTAGCGTAAGTCCAGCTTGGGCTTCAAGTGGTATTAACCCGCGCCCCAGTGTCAGTCTGGATTTTACACGACCTGGTGTGGGGGGGGGGGGGTTGAACACTCCCCTTCTATCTCGGCTCCTGGGCCACGTAGCGACACACGGTAAGCGGCAATCGAAAGAACGTCAAAAATAAAGACGAAAACACTTCAGACATTTTTTAGGTCAGGTCAAAGGTAAGGTCACCAGAGGTAATCAAACATTTTGGAAACTGCCAACGGCTATCTCGGGAACCGATAGAGCTACAGCGTCGCGGAAAAGCACATTCGATAGCCCATTTACAGACATTTCTGAGTAATTGTCTCAGGTTTGACCTCAGGTCAACGGTTTAGCCTCCAGAGGGCAAAAACTCCAAAAATAGCCGTTTTTACGAAAATCGGTTTTTCGGCAATAACTTTTGACTCTAAAAAGCCATGACATTACTTTTGCCAGCATCGTGTTCCTCTCGTCATGACGCGTCGAATGAACTATAAGTTGACCTTTAACCCTCGCCCATGTAGGGGGGGTTGGTGCACCCCCCCCTGAGGTTTTTCGGAAATAGTGCAAAAACGGCGGCGCGCAGCGCCGCCAAATTTTGGGTGCCTTATGGGGCAAACCTTGCGCATCTTTTGATAAAAAAATTTGACCGGGTCATGTCAGGTCACGGAGTTATGACGTCACAAAGGGAACAGCCTCCGGCCGGATTTTCACAAACTGAGTGCCAACGCCCGAGGTTTCCTGCCGGTGGTACGGACATTGGTTGATGGATCGTGATGAAACTTCCCATGCATGTTGGGGCAAGTATTGGCTATCATATGGTATAAGAAACTTGACCGGGTCAGGTCAGGTCACGGAGCTATGACGTCACAAGAGGAACAGCGTCCGGTACTATTTTTGAAAAGCGCCCGAACCACTATTTTGCTAATTCTTGTCACCTCAATGGGAATATGCAGCAATATTAGCTTCTAAAGGGAGCAAATGGACCTCCCAAATCCAAAAATACAATCAGATTTCAAAAATTTAAATTTTGATTTTTCGAATTTCTGCCGCCGACTGTGACCTTGCCGACTTCCGGCGCTCCCAACGCGCCATTTTTAGAGCTAGGGAAACGAAATACATACCAAACGATAGAGAATTGATCAAGGAACACGATAGTGAAGGTTTCAAGTCGATATCTCCCACCGTTTTGCCGCAATCGCCGCGGAAAGTTGAAAAAAGTCTATTTTTCCGAAAATTTGACCTTTGACCGGTCAAAAGTAGGTCAAATGTTGACCTAGGACCAAAAAATATACCACCAATCGCGAGATCTCGGCGAGAGCAATCCGTTGGTCTTTTCCGCTAAGCTCTACGACGCTCCGCTTTCAAACGCCAAGGGGGGGGGGGTCGCACCAACCCCCCCCCCCTGCATGGGCGAAGGTGGCAGATCGCCGTTTACGGGCGAGGGTTAAAGGTCAACTTGAAAA